CGAGCATTAACTGCTATTTCATCGTTAATGTAAAATATATTAATGTCTAGGAAGTGTGAAATGGATTCTTACAAAATTATTAATCTATGAAAAAGAACAACAAGAAAATAACTGAACAGAAAGGAAATACTTGCCCCTATTAGCACTTTCAGTATAATCTTATGGACACAATCTGTAGTTCTCAGTAATAAATACACAGGCTTTTTTGTTTTGCGAAGTAATTTTTGTCTGTAGATTAATGGTGGAGCGGATTAGCCATCTGTCTGTGCTTTTAGATATGTAGATGCTGATCCAGTACCTCTCATATAAAAGGAGTCAGAGGAGCAGGAAAAACAAAAAGGGAGGAGAGAGAACAAACAGGAGGGGAGCACTATAATTTGGTCTATTATTGTATTCTCAGCATTCTATGAAAGGAAAAAAAAAGCCTGAAATAACGAGATCTATAATACGTAACATATTTATCTAGCTTTGTTACTGATCTTTATTTACCTTTAAAGTATTGAGAAATTTTTTTAATAATTAGTTACCAGACAGAAAACACTGCTGACACTGGCATGCAGGACAATTTCACCTTGGCACATCCCTGCCAGAGAGGAAACTGGCACCCAGGGAGGTCTCGCTTTGCTGTCTTCAGCTTTTGTGGGCAGTGGTTGCTTTATGTGGACACCAAAGGCTTCCTAAACCTGAATCACACTGCTAAGGAAATCAGTTGAATATCTGGGTGATGCTTTTAAAGATATTACACATATAGCTTCAGAATACCCTACCCTGGCCTCCTGTTCTGAGCACCTCCCGAGGGAGATTTCTCTTTCCACTGAATACAGGGAACCTTATATTGTTATAACTTCAACTCTAGGAGCTTAAATTAGAAATACCTTGGCAGGAAATTACTGCAGGTGTATTAGTCATTTCAAGAACTAGAATGTGACACTTCTTGAAGATGTATTACATCCTAGAAAAGTACAATATCATTTACTAAAGAGTTTTCAAACATCCAAGTGGAGATCTCATTGAGCAATATCGTATAGAGACACTGGGAATTAAAGAAGAGACAATATTTAACTGTTCACAGAAGGAGGCCACTATAGCAAACAGGTCTAAACTAGTGAGAAAAACTGCTAAGCTGTTGCACAGCCTGTCTGTTCCACTGAATCAGAGTATTGCACTGAAGATACATTCTGTCAAAACGTTTTCAACCAAGACTAACAAGAATAACATTTGAGTGAAAGCAAAAAGGAGTAATTCCACCATTTTTCCATTAAATTAGCAGCTAAGAATTTGATTTACGCAGCTTTTTGGTAAAGAAGTTTACACTGAATCCTCTCAAAGCACTTTTGCTCATAATAAGCCTTCCAAACCATCCCCAACATACACAGGTTCTAGATGCTAAATGAACATGAATAGACAAGCAAAAGCTGCATGTTGAGGAAAAAAAAAAAAAAAAGGAAATTACATCAAGAGGTGAAAAAAATAATTATTTAATTTTGAGTACTTTATGTGTTTCACTAACTCTTAGTCTGTCAACCATTTAACAAAAAATGTCAAGTCTTCACAGAAACAGGTAGTGAAACTTCTGCTGTTCTCGAGTTCAGCACAAACACAGCACTAAGTACAGCGTAAACAGAAAGATGTCCATGGGCTTCTGGTCCATGGAGGCTGCTAGCCCTGGGGAAGAAAGGCTCAAGACAGGAAGGGAAAAAGAAAACAACAACAAAAAAAAAAAAAAAAGAAAAAGAAAAGAAAAAAAGGTGGGGGTTGGGAGAAGCAGGAGAGAAAGTGTAACTGAGAACATGCAAGCTGTAACTGAAGTTGGGGGCGGGCAGGAGTCTGCCTAATGTCACTCAACAGATTAATGGGAGAGTAGAGAAGAAAACAGATTTCCTGACTGCCTGTCCTATAGGCAGCACTGGACTGCAGTCACCCCACTGACACATGTTCAGTATCACTGTATGCCTGAGAGCTTTTGAGCTTTGAATTTTCCCAGCCTTTTAAGGATTTTTAAAACAAAAAACAAAACTTGAGAAGGTTGAGAAGAATCCCACCTTTACTAGCAAAAGTAAGACTGAAACGTGCCAACTACTCTGCAAGCGTAAAGCAGTTGGAGAGGAATTGGCACATAGTAAAAAGTGTCCAGCCACCCACTGCTGGAAGGTCTCCAAAAAAACCCTTATACTTGTGACATAAATTAGGGCTGGGCTTTAGACATGCCTTTCCCTGGGTCTTTTGCAGTCTAAAGTTGAGAATTAGTGTGTTTGTCTATAAGCATGAAGAGGCTGAGAACAGAAGCCCAGAGACCAAAGACTGTCACTGTCCTGAGGCTCAAGATGTGTTTTCAGAATTCACTCACAAGATGACTCCCGGGCATCTGACTACATCTCCTGTGGAGTTAGTTCAATTAAAACTCCTGATCTGCTTATGTTTTTGACATTTCAAACATCCCTGAGTGGTATTTGATATCAATAAAGTTCTAGGGAAGGAATTTCAGTGCTAAAAAGGTGAACTAATTTGTACACAAGAAGTGAACGAGCCTGGGAAAAGCAGAACAACTGTTAAAACCCATGGAATAAGGAAGACAATAAAAGTCAGGTAAATGAAACTAAAGGAAAACCAAAACACAGAAGCACACCAAGCAAAAGCTGTGAATATGACTTATGTTTTTGGATTGGAAAAGCAGAATAAGACATTTGAGTTTTGAGAACTGTATAATCAATCTGTTTTCCATTTTTCCTCATTTCCAGTTCTTAGATGGTATATCATCCCTACCTGGGTGGTTTGGAGTAAAGCAAGGTTCCATGTTTTTATATCTATATCTATATCTATCTATATATTTATTTTTTAAAGAGAATGGAAAAGAACACATTTGTTATGGATCTAATGCTACTAAATATTTTTTGAAAAAAAAAAAAATCTTAACCACCAATGAATAGGTGTTAACTCCACTTTAAACTTAGCTCTTGTAATGTTTTATCACATTGCATACTTGTAGCATCATTGAAATTATATAGGTTTTCAGTTGTATATAGGTTACTGGAGAAGGTTATTAGAGACAGTAAGGAATATACTAATCCAACTTAAAACAACAAAACTTTTGATCTCAAGTCAACTGGAACACATAATGTAGAAGGAAGTACCTCAGCAGCATCAAATAGGGTGCCAAATATCAACAAAATTACAAGTCAGCTATGCATCTCAAATGTGTTTTCTCACAAGTGTCCAAAGGATTTCAAAGAAAGGCTAATAAATCTACTTACGTACACAATAAGAACATGTAGAATAAAGAATAAAAACTTACTCTGATCCAGTGAAGCGTTCCAAAATGAGGTTCGAACCAACCAAAACCAAAAGACAACTGACTTTCAAAATTTAGGAATATGCGCTTGTTCCCACCGAAGCTCATGGCAAGTTTCCATTGATACCACTGTTGTAGGAATGATCTCTAATACTGCAGTTTAATGTCTAATCTATATTACTGTTATTTTTTGGCACAATTCAACTTGGAATGCAGTAGCGTGATATGAAAAGGGTGTTTTGTTTGCAAACTTGGAATGAAATCCAACTTGGACTAGATTGCAGAATGAAGAAGCCAGCAAAAGGGAATTTGACACTCACCATTCTGGCAGAAAAAACTAAGTTTCTCTAAACTAGAAGATTAAAAATACTTTGATACTGTTATTTCAAATCAAAATCAAAAGGAAGAAAACATAAGTATTAAACTGTGCCAGATTAATGGGATCTTTGGTTAATGATCATTAGCTTCCTGAAAGTCATTTGAAGCTAGTCATAAAGCTAATACCTAAAAACACTGCAGAATTAAAACAAGTCTCACTGGCTATGAAACACAAAAGCTATTAATCCTTTATACTAGCAAGTTAAATCTTAAATTATCTGTGACAAATCCTGGATGTTTTCTTCTTTCTGAGCTATTACTGAATTAATTGAGAGTTCTCAATCCCTATTCAGCACAATACTTGAACATGTTCTCAACTTTATACACATGGGAAAACCTAAATCCTTATCTAAATTTTACTTCATTGTAAGTTAAGCGTAAGTTAATGACAGAGCAAGCATGCTGGTGCTTTGTTAAACTGGGAACTTGACTTCCACAGATGGGAAGGAGTCCCTCTGACTTCTTTTATTCTCATAAGCGCTAAATACTCAGTTTTATCAGGTCACAGTTTTGTGTCTTTAGCAAAATAGGGATAACAGTTATCTGAGAGCAAGAGCTATCATTTTGTCAAGTCATTACTCAAGGACACTACATGTGCAGAGGCAAGTGGAAAGCAGCATGGCATGAATCAGATGCTTAACCTACTACTAAGAATAATATGATTAGCATATTTTCATTATTATTATCATAAGCATATATTGAGAAGATTAAGAGGATCAAAATTAAGTTTGGATAGTATATTTGTACTAAATTCAACCAGATGCTAATGCTAGCAAATATTTATATTAATGATTAACTTTGTGCTGTGGGAGTTTCAGACTACATACAAAGTCTGAAATCGAGCACTGGGTTGGGAAGTATCTGTTAATCAAATGAAGGAACTGGACGTTAATATTTTGCTCACCTTACTTTAGCAATATGTCTTAGTCATGACTTGGCAATTCAATGATCATGAAGTCTTTGATCTGTTTTCTGACCTGTCAAATTATATCCATCAAAACAAACTGGGAGAAAGCCTGTTTTAATGCAGTGGATGTTGTTTCAAACCAAGCTGAGAGGAAGTCATCATCTCCATTTATGAAGACTTTTGGTTGCCACTGAACAAAGCCAGAGCAAATTCAATGACCTAAAGTTAGGAGGATCTACCACTTGCTAATAACTCCTTGGGTCAGTTAACCCACTGTTGTTCATTTATTCCCTGACAGAGTCATAAAAATGAGTCAGTGTTGGTTAATAAGAAAATATTTTCTCCTGTTAATCAGTGATATCATTTGCAAAGTGGAAGGTAGAAGACACTAGAAATTCACTACAAAATAAAAAATAAAATCTTTACCCTAATAAAGAGGATCTTCTCTCCAACTCTATATCTTCCTTGTGAAAGACGCTCCACACAGAACTTATTAGGGCATTTACAAGGTGGATCTTCAGAAATGTGTTTAACCTGAAAAACACAGAAGTTATTGATAGAAACTGTTTAAAACAGCATGTGAAGCGTAACATTCAAGAGGGTATTTGCCATAACATGATATCACTAATCTAAGTCTTCATCAATGATATTTTCTTAGTTTTCCTTAATTTTCTTAATATTTTTGTAATCCCAGACTGTGGTGCTTCAAATATCAAGAAGGATTTTACAGCTGTGATGAGGTAAAAATAGAGACAAGTGTCACACAGTTCAACATAAAATTTGAACTGTTTAACTGAACTCCAACAGTTTGTTAATTTGAGTTCAACGTCAAACTTTTGTAGATGTGCTCTCAGTATTTTATGGTGAATAAGCTCAACTGTCAAAGGGGTAATGTAGCTGATGGGCAAAATGAAGACGTCATAATGATGTGTTTTCCCTTCCTAAATAAATATAATAAATACCAATAAAAGGCCCTGCCCAATAGCTTCACTTGACACTTTCAAACAGTGCACTAACACCTTAAAGAAAGTATACAGAGAATACTGTGACATAATGACAAATACATGCCAAGATGCTCCCCAGTATTGCTAACTACCCTTTGATGGTCTCCACCTGAGGGCATTCATGCAATCAAGTTTTCATTTAAAGGGGCCTCAAATGTACTCTATCATTGCCAACAGTAAGGGCTGAGAAAAATACAGGTGAAAACTACTTTCCTGCTTTTTATCAGCTGCATGAGCTGGACTTGAGCGTCTTGTGAAAACTTGGCCTTGCATGTGCTACTAAAGGCATTAATACTTAGTAGAAGTATATTTTGTACTCTTCAGTGATCTGAAAGTAGCACCACCATCAATGCCAAAAGAGCAAATCTCTTTGAGAAACCCTTATTTGACATTCAAATTGCACTACTGCACAGGAACAGCAATAACAAGTGCGGCATTTTCATATTCCGCAGTTTTCTCTGATGAAAGCTGACCTAGTACGTCAGTGTCAAAATGCTAGAGGAACTTTTGCCCACTTCAAATAATATTTCAAAGACCTTTTCAAATCCAGTTTGTAAACACTTAGCAGAGGAATGCTACATGTATATTACACACAAAAAGTGTTTCTCAAGTATCAGTGTCCTCAGTTTGAATGTACAATCACTGAATTATTTTAAGATTAATTATTCTAGTGATTTTTATCAACATAGGTGAGTGTTAGCCTCCATTTCTGGAGAATCAAACTATTTAGATAGTCAGTGTTCAATAGGAATAACTCAAATGAAGTCACTGGCTGGTGACTTCAGTGCAAGTTCAGGCTGCTGAGGATGCAAAAGGTGCATTCCTGTATCTCTGGGAATGTTGTACCAAGACTGGAATTCCGCTTAGAGGACTGCTTGGCAATGGCCCTCTCAATGCTGCCTGATAATCAGTGATTTCTGACATAATATCCTACGGCATTTATCACCTCTGGAGACCCTCTTGAAATTCAAAGCTGAAAATGGATAATGTGTACTAAGCCTTAATAGCTGTGTCTACCAGGGTTCATCTAAACAAGCAAAAACTCAGAGTAGCCAGAGCTAACAGGTTTGAGGTTGTTTTGAACTGCATAAGCCAAACAGAGCCATCTTTGGCCTGTGGAGAATGAAAGCCAACAGATTTATACTGGTGTAAAACACTGGATAATGAAACTTTCACTGCTATTGAGGCTTCTATTACCTTACTATCCCAAAGGACACAGAAGTATTATTGAGTGGAATTTGGAAATCAAATAAGGAAGCAGAGGGAAGAATTATATCCTATTTTATTTTGTGTCTGGACTATATGAGCACTGCTGCTATTTTATGGTGTGAGTGTCTGGGGCAGTGTGGGTCAGGAATCTAGCTGGATGAATTCCTTTCTGTTTCTATCCCTACTGCTTTCTAAATTAAAGGAGGTGGTTGGAGACAACCTTCATACTCTCTGTTCTGTTCCTACAAGATACGCAGTCACCACCCTCGTTCTACACATAACTGTTCTTTCTCACTTCTGTTGAAACATAAGCTAGTGCTTCTGCAAAATTAAGGAAGAAATACAAAACTTAAAAAATGTTAAATGTAATTATTTGCATCAAATAGTACAAAGTATTTCAATAAAATGAACTAACATTATACTCCATCTGCTCTTTGGAACAAAAAAGTGGCACATGGATTTTTCAAGAAGTGCTTTGTAACTCCCAGGTGGCACATCTACCTTGTAATATAGCAGTTACTATAGTAACTGCTTCTTTTTATAGAATATATTTGCACTTTTCAAGTTTAACCTCTTCATGGTCTCAAAATGTGTCTTTTTCATCTGATTCCAGCTGTTTCAAATAAACCCCTCTAGGGTTTGTAACAGAGAAATGAACACCACGCTATAGCACAAATAGCTTAACGATACTCATAGCAAGATATTTTCTATCTAACAATGAGGGAAAAAAATGCTTGTTTTTTTTTACCACATGAGAAACATGCAGAACAGCAGCATAAAAATTAGGCTGAGATAACTTAAAGTGTTTGTTAACATTCTGTACAAGTCAGTATGGGCCAAATCTCCTAGTCCTGACTCAGTCCTTTCTCAGACAAAACACCAAGTGGGAGTTGATGAATAAGAAGTGAATACAAAAAGAAAATGGAGTAATACAAAGGGAACTTGGCCCTCAGCACAAAGCCAGGCTAAACTGCAGATCTCCTACACAGTGTGACATTTTTCCCAAACTTCAGGCATAAATAATTGTGGCCAACAATAAATTAACTATCAGTCTGCGGATTTATGAAATACAGTGAGATGTTAAACTGAGGCTTTTGTGTTCTTTGCAAGTAAGTGCATACCAGAATGGGTCAGATAGGAAGAAGCTTCCTCCCAGAACTTACAGCATCATCCAACAGTTTCCCTGTGCTCTTTTTCCCAGGAGACTTTGTTGGTGACGGTGAAGGAGAAGGAAGCGGGGCTGAAAGCGTTTCCTCTTGTTCAATCTCTTTTTCCAACTTTATTAATCCAGGAGGCTCCACCCCAAACCTTTTGGAAATATGCAAACAAATTACTAGTCCTTGTAAAGTATTTCATATTTTAAAGCAAAACCCTGGAAAGAATTTTCTTTCTGTATTGCACTGTTGTGCAATCATAGATTGCTACTGACATTAATAAACAAGTATAAAATATAGCAAATCATTAATGCCACCGTTCCAAATCACTACAAAGAATGAATTTAAATAGCATCTCTCCGTTGATCAAATTTACAGGAAATGTAGTTTTTCTCCAGCTTCTCTGTCCGATAACTTACATGTTTGTGAAAGACTAATTTAGAAACAGCACTAGGCCTCAAAAATTGCTACACCGTATAGGACAGATTCCAGTTCAGCACATTTTCTTTTTTTTTTTTTCTCCCCTCCTCTCCCCCAACAACATCCTTTCAAATTACTTCACAACTTCTATTTTCTGCTACAATTTTCCAAGAAATCCATATGAAAAAGGATTAAAGGTTATCCTGGTCTCAACTATTACACTGAATTTATAGATAAAACTGAGACAGAAGTGGCTAATGCCTTTTCTAACCAATTTTTGACAGCCAAACTTCAGATCTCTGTTTACAGTGGCAAAACACTTGTAGCTCCAACCAAAACAAAATACATGCAACTTTGGCATGGAGCATCTCAAACACGGCACTTGGAGAGCCAGGCTCTCTAAAACAATGCCTGCTTTTGAAAGCTTTATGGGAAGTGATTAAATCAGTATCTCACTGCAAGCAGCAGAGCTTGGAAAGATGTCAGAAGCCTAAAAGCCCACCCCATTTTCCTAATCACTGATAATTCCCCTCTATTTTTTTATTTTGCCAACACTGAACAAAATTCCTGAAAAATAGAAAGATTTCCTTTTTCAGAGGACCCCAGCTTGGAAAAATTGTAATGCCAGGTAGGCTTTTCATAGCAAACTACTTGCATAAATGAAATCATATTTTCTTCTGTAGTAGAAAAGTCCATAGCCCAGATGCAGAACTATGCTGACTTATCTAGCTAAAGATCTGGACCCTAAAATATTGAGCAGTAACAAACATATTACAAAAATCTAAGCTAAATACCATAACAACATTAAAAGCGTACAGAGAAAGGGCATAAACACATGTACTGTCTTCTGTATTTTTATGATAACTTTTAATTTAGCCACACTTCTGCCTAGTAAATTAATATAAAGAAAACTAAGAACCAAATCTGTGCTTGTATTGGCTTCTAACTGATGCAGTCTGCCTAATGAAAAGCCAGCCAACATTGAAGCAAGCACTTATATACAATCCATTTACTTCCTGTCTGTCTGCAGATGCCGACAGGCTGTAAATCATTAAATTCCCACTGGGTTCTCAGCCTACACCTGCATGCAGCCTTACTCATCAAATAAAACTCTTCCACTCTAAGCAATGCTGCTTCTTTGCTTCTACTGCTTTTCATAATCTCCCATTTTTATCATTGTGACAGACTTTTAAAGTTCCCTGTATTTCCAGTATTCTGAATTCCTTGGGTGATGAGTTGAAAAAGAACACAAATGAACAAACAAACATATGAACTTTTTTTTTTTCCCCCTCCCCAAATATTGTATCAACCTGAAGCAAAGTTGCTGGAAAGCTGAAATGGTAAGTCTTTTGTGGGAGGGGTAGAGGTGCAAATTCTGGTCTGGAAGGTATGCTGAGAATTTCCTTTTCTACTCGTTTCTAGCCTCCCTTCTCATAACTACAAAATGAAGCAGCACTGGACTGTAACATGAGCTCCAATAGACTTAGAGCACCACTTCCCATTTTTACCAAGGAAAAATTGAATACAATAGCAGAAAGATGTTGAAATTGCTTAAAGTAATTTCAAAAGACCTGTGGGGGTTGTTGAATCCCCCATAGTTTAATAGTTACCCAAGAACTTCATTCTTTCTGCAGAAAAGATAATTTAGCTGTTTTCCATTTTATAATCTCTATTTAAACACACACATAGACAGCACATATACATCTATTTGCCAATAATTACATTTTCCATGAAGTCTTGATTACAAAGATTACACAAATTACGCAGTGATCCATTCTGTACTCACATCCGTTTAGTTTAAATGATTCATTCTGATTTTAAAATACTTGGGAGAAATTTGGAGCTGTGCAACCCACTGCAATAGCTCTGCGTATCATCAACGCTCAATTTCATCCCGTAGGACACTTCCCTCTCTCACAAATGTTCTCACTCTACCCACGATATCTGCCAGTGCACACAATGGCCCATTTTAGTTACTGAAATTTCACAGATGACTTCAGAATTTTGTCTTCATACACAATTGAAATCCAGGATATCTTATCAGGCTATTCTATTTTATTAGCACCTGGGCTTCCAACTGCCACCCTTTGAGACAAGTGGTCACTCCAGTTTTCCACTCACTGTGTAGTCCATCCATCCAGTCCATCTCTCTCTAATTTGGCTAAAAGGACACTGAGAGAATATGCTAAAAGCATTGCTAAAGCACAGACCATTTATCAACTGTCTCCTCTCATCCACAGGTGCTCACCTGTTGAATGGGTTTGAGTTTAGCACAACAGAGCTCAATTCTATCTCCACCTCAAACAATCCCCATTCCCACTCATTTGTGCCTCAATCCCAAGCCTATTTTCATTAAGAAGAAAGACCTATGTTGACTTATTGGAGTTACAGACCCTGAAGATTAACAGTAATCTAGCTGGGCAAAGTGCACCTGGAACTGGCTCCTTGGGATGAATAAACCACTGTGAACACATCTTCCTGCTTCTAAAACAGAACAGGAAAGGTAAGTTATTCAGCATCTCTTAGTCTTTTCATTCTTTAAAAACATACTGAGGCACCTTTTCAAAGATCTTTGTGGCTCCTGTTCAGGAAAGCAGACCCTCAAGACTGTCAGCAGACCCAGTCTGCTCCATGAAGCAAGCATAGCTCTGACTGCTTTCCTCTTTAAAGCTGCACAGTATTGTTAGTTTTATGTGCTTTTTCCTATGCTTAGTGGAAGCAACTGTCTATTCTCCTTTTCCATATAGTTTTAGTTTATCACACCTCAGGTAAAACTGACATCACACCGTAAGGTATTGTTATTTGACCCCTACAAACAGAAATAAAATACAGTAACACAAATATAATACATAAAATATATTAACAATATACAGTAATATACATGTATTATAAACAAAAATAAAATAACAATATTTTAAAGGCAAAGGGATAGATATGCATAATAAATGAAAACATGGTTCATTTATTAGTTCAGTATTTGTTTTCACTCCTGGAACAGAGAATATCTGAGACACAAGAGCTTAAGACAAATTCATGGAAATTTTTTTTTTTTTTTTAATTATCAGAAAAATTAACTAAATCTCAATTGTGTATAGAGAGATCTGACTGTTAGAAGGAGAAACAGCTCCAAGCTTTATTTAGAAAAAATTCTCAACTCTTCCCCCTCCTAATATGAGGATAGCCAACAAATACCTTCACTGAGGTGATGGCACTGAGATTTTATTATACTGGTTAACAACTGCCCACAAAATATTCTTGAGTGACATCAAGACGAGCATTCTCCGTGAACCTAATGAGCACAAAAGTTAGCTTGAGATGTGCTGATTTAGTAAGTCTCTCAATAGCCACTGCTGTCAAGAATGTAAATATTTCTTCATTCTTTAAATATTTTCACCTACCTTGCTGCAATCCTTCCGAGTTCCAGCAAACAAAGGCACACTTCTCTTGGCTGCTTGTGGAGAACTGGAAAAGCAAAATGAAGATAGAAAACATTTATAAATAAAAGCTATTTTAAAGATTTTAATGATGAATGGAACCTAATCATCAACATCTGTAACTCTTTACTCAGATAAAACTTGGTTTTCTTTGGCTTGCAGTGGAGTTTTACTGGAATAAAAAGGATGGGATTGAGGACTGGTTCTCAGAGTGGAGGCGATTTAGGAAATTCCCATTTAGTTATCCTTTAGTACCTTTGAAAATACCATTCTAAATCTAAATCCCCAAGTAATTATTTGGGCTATTTGGTAACCTACAAGCAGTTCATAACTATTTAAAAATAATCAAGAGCTCTGGCAGAACACTAGTAGAATATCAAAAATAAATTAATAACATTAAAGTGATACTTCTTCTATAAACTAAGAGAATTCCTATCCTTTAGATCACTATTTTTCTAAGCCTATTTAAATCACAAAAAATAACAAATTTGCATTAGCAAAGATATATCTCATCATAAATTTGATCCTGAATTTGTTATACATCTACTCTTAAGGCAAATATGAAACCAGAATACTTTAGGAATTCGGCTCATCATAGAAAAACACATAACCAAAGAAAAAACTTTTTTTCTGTATATACACACACATATATGCAAGTTTTCATGCCTAGATTTCACACAAGAGCTGTAGTTTTTAAGCTTCAGAAGCAGCTTTAACACAGCATGAACTTCTCATTACAAAATGCTACCATTATTCAAGATAACTCTTTCACCCCATAATTCAGATACATAGTGTACTGCAGAAAAGTCCAGCAGAATATATAAGCAAAATCCCAAATCAATAAATGAGGAAAGGCCTGTGGCTGTTTGCATAATGAACTCCCCAAAAGTCCAAAAGGAAGAAAGGAAAAAAAAGAATAAAAAAGGAATTATGAGTACATGGTCATCTTCTCTCTAGAAATACTTATTGCTGTAAAACCCCCATGTTGTGAATAAAATTCCGGTTTTAGAAATTTCCACAATAATAAAAAGATTTGTACCTTATACTTCAGACTGAATTGACACCAAAAAATAATTGTGTGAATATTTGTGTACATCAGAAAAAAAGAAAAAGCAACAAAATTGATTTGTTTTTAATGAGTTAAGGTCAAGACATCTGCTGTATAAATATTATGGTTGCCTAAAGACTCACCTAACTCAAATTCATGAAGAAAAAAATACCATACCTGAAAAAGATATTTCAATGTCTTGTTAAAGCTCTGAAAGTCATTACTTTGTCCTATGCTGTATGTATGAAACCCACAATGGGAATCCACAGAATTAAACATCTCTAAATAACTAATGCCCTGGGGCAGATCTTCAGCTACTGCAACTTCAACCTCCAGCTCCATTGACTTGAATAAATGTATGGTAAGACGTGCGAGTTGAATGCTCATCCCAGTATCTTTTATTAGTGTTATGTAGCACTTGGAGATGTATGCATTCTTCTCCTCTCATCTCAACCAAATATATTTCCAGAAGTGAAACTGCAAAGCATGAAAAATAAAATTGCACTGCACTAGGAAAAGTATTTTTCATCCTTCAGCCATCTGTTATTAAGAATATAAAAGATGCAGACTTGGACATTCAGCTATTCTCAAAATTCTTCCTTGCCACAACACAGAAATTTCATGAAACATTTACCTTTACTAGCAATCAGTACTTTTAAAGCATTACATTCATAACCTTAGAAATGTATTCTACTGCTTTGGTTTTAAACCATTTGGTTTAAAACTTGATTTTAAGAAATAAGGCATCCCCCAAATTAAAAATGGAATAAACCAGTTTTGGAATAGTCAAAGAGAGTCCAATATTTCCGAATTGTAATTCACACATATGCACATCTGAATGACTTTGGAAGGGAAAAGAAAAAGAGAGGCTGAAGTAATATTACTTGCAAAAAAGATCCATAAACAGAACTGGAAAAAGGGTAAGAAAGGTAAAATGTTTTTATGTCAGTGCTTAAAGTTCTTCTACCCAAACAGACTTCAAAGTCCTTTAGCAAATCTGACTCAACATAATCTAGACACATTTCATGCATTTCACATCGAACAACGTGACACAGTGAAATCATTGTTAGAGGATGAAGAGCTGTGCAGGCAACAGCCAACCACAAAAACAAACATCTGGTCATCTGGTGAGACAATGGTGACACAGCACTTCTAACAAGAAAATGTTATCATTCCTGAGGACTATAACAGCATATGTATTCAGGAACTTCAGAGACAAACAAATGTTATTTTGTATACTGCAATACCCACTGGAAATAATTTAGATTCTCAAACTAAAATTTTATTTTTTTTTTTCCCAGAGCACGGCTGTTTAATGGGCTCCTACCTCACAAGAGACTGGTCAGGAGTTACAGCAAAAGCCAGAGAGACACGGGATTGCATTTCCACACCTATCTTGATCCCCCACGTTCAGTTTAAACTTGAGTGAGCAAAGAAGACCATTGTCTTTTGGAACAAGTAGCACTTTTCCAGATTTCTGAGTACTTATTTGGAAATACTTTTTTTTTGGTGCTATTCAAAACTAAGTGGAAGAGCTCAATATTTACAGTCACTTTCAAAAGGCTGCCTTCTAAGCCTTTTGAAAAAAAGTTACCTTTACACTTTTTTTCCATCTAGAGAACAGAAAGAAAAATTTCTTACACTTCCTTTCTTAGCTTTACTTATAGAAGTTGAGTTAATATTTCCTTCAGCATCTTGCATCATTCTCCAAACTTTTATCTTCAGATTTTTGCAACAAATGAGGCATGTGAGGAGAAAATAACAATAAGAGTTTCTTTCATTTCATGAACCATACCATACCAAGATTTAGACGGAGCAAGGACCATCCTAAAGAGAACAAAGCTCTTTTAGGGAAAAAATAGCCCAGGACCACATAAAGAGCTTTTAGATGTACCAAAACAGTTAAATAGTTTAACTAACATAGTACAGCCAGCCTTAATTATAGCCCAAGTACTTCAATTCGTAGCATTACTACAATTTTTGTATGCAACTTCCTGCAATTTTTCACTCTTTCATATATGGAAGAAAACAATATTCCTGGAGAATCATTGTCCATTCCTCCCCCATCAAACATTAGCAAGGTGAATCATCTGAGTAGGTGACTATAAAGCAAGTAGCAATTTGTAAACATAGAAGACACAGACGCTACACAGATCTACTGCAGAAGATGAATGGAAATATCCACCTTGCCAGAGAACCTCACTGATGATATTCACTTGATAAGAAGGTAATGTGAAGATTCAGAAATACTGTAGACAAGTCCAGCTTGTTTTAGGTGCTCTGACAGTTACAGACCCTTTTGCTTTCCCTCTCATTAATTTCAAATCCTGCTTATCTGCTGTCCTCATAACCTGCATCTTTTCAAGCTACTTCCAGCCACTCTTTTTTAACAATACTTCCATTTCAGCTCCTAGCATGTTTTTATCCCTGCTCCTCTCTGGTTATAACTTCTTCCTCCATGTTGCTTCCATCTTGTTGTTGCCTCTTTCTCCTCTTACTTACAGCTCCTGCTCTCTGATCACTCACGCCTTGTTCTCCTTCCTTCTAATTCACTTCTTTCCTACCTACTGTTCATCACATTTCTGCATCCTTCACCACTCCTCTCCCCAGTCCCTGGACACTATCAGGAGGAGCAGAGAGAGCAGAGGATGAACAGCCTCTGCTTGCAGTGCTGATCAGCACCTGGGGCTGCGAGGAGACATAACACACAGGGCACATGGAGAGCATGTGTCTGCTGAGCACATTTAAACAGAGAGTGTTCACAATAAGAAATGTGAGGGGTTCTTTGGTTTATTTGTCTTTTTTGTTGTTGTTGTTTTAATTAGCAGAATGCCCAACCAAGTTTCAAGCCTTTGCTCCTACCATTTTTTTAAACCATTATTAGTGGAGTCAGTTTTAATTCTAAACAATTTTTTTTTTTTTTAGATATCTTAGGCACAGATGAATCAAACAAGTGAATATGATTTCTGCTTTTAAAGCATTTTTTAGCTCAGTAGAAGTGAAGAGATTTTCTGAAGTGTTTTAGTATTTATTATCATAGGCTTCCAGTTGCCATCAGAATTCACACATGTTTCGGGAAGGTTTTTCAAGAGGTTGATCCTTAGATCCTACTTCCTATTGTCTTTCACTTTCTCCTTTAATACTTTTTCTTCTGATCCTACAGTATCTTTTTTTTCAAACATTGCTTTGAGAACACTTACTCTGTGTTACTTATCTGCACAGTTACTTACTGTTACTTATCCCAAAAATACCATTGCTTCTGCATCCAAGAGTTATACTACAACATAAATCAAGGAGTTGTGTTCCCCACCCCCCATTTCAGTACTATCATTTATGAAAGTCTCAAAAAAATGTTTCAAACATGGTAAATCTATGGATAGTAAAGAACTAATCTAGAATAAATATAGAGCTTATTTAAACACTAATAATTTATGGTAATTCATTAATTTAAGATGCTAATCTTAAATAACAGTGTCCAGGATGCTTCTATAGTCCTCAAAACGAGACATATTCAACAAAAGTATGAGTTGTTTAGTAAAATGCTGTGAAAGATGAGACAAAGCCTTATCCTGATGCAACAACATGTAAAATGTAACACAGTATTACAAGGTGTAAATGTGGCACTGTGAAAGAATTGTCAAAAGTGTACTTCCATCTTGTAACATTAAATTAGAAATTAGAGTATTAATTTAAAAAAAAATAATTTGCCTCTATGCATAAAATATTTTTAAGCAATCAAAATTTGAGTGTTTTTTTAAAAAGTTCAAAAAACCCACATTAGAATGGAGATCAGTGGTGTTTGTGTTTAAGTCTATTATAATTTCCACTAAAACACTAGATACTTTTGTTTAGGGAACCTGTCCATTAATTTCTGTAATCAATAAGTTGCATCAAAAGAAGTCCATGTCTATATTGTGTGTACACACGCACACTTACAGAATATACAAGCACAAAACATGAATCCAACAATATCATCCAAAAACTCCCAAAACAAACAACACACATTAGCATGCTGGCACACTTGGTGGCAAACCCTTTTCTTGCCGGGTGGAGTCTTTATCACAGAAGAGATGCAGACTATTCGTTGGTTCCAAATCCTATAATCATCCAACAACACTACATTACCAACAAAGAGTTCATCAGTCATGCTTTAAGTTCACTTAACTAAAGCAATCATAGAAAATCCTACCATTCTTACTATTTGGCCAAGAGTTTTCTTTGAGTATTACACTCTTCAGGCTTAAGCACTGTAATTACAATAATCTCCATCAAGAATGCTTCTATAAATTGAATTATCATAGCTGTGTGGATCTGCTGCCCTAAAACCTCCAAAGGGGAACTTACAGAATATACATCACAAGAACAGAGGAGTTACACACAGTATTACTTTTCATAGACTGAGTTAGTGCATTATGTTCCAAGTCTGAGACATGGGGTAAATTTTGACCTCTGATTTATCTAAGAACCCCATTCAAAGACAGTATGTCTCAAGATTTGCCCAGATGATGAAAATATGGACTTCAGATCATGGTTTTGGGTATTAACAATTAGATATTAGCTAATTCCTTCTTATTTAAATACACTAACTATAAAAATTACAATTAAGAAAAGCATGCTAAATTTGCCAATGAGTGCAGGGGGCGTGTGGTCTCCCTCTACCTTGCAGCATTCAAGATGATCCCTACATAGTGAACTGCTGATGTTTTATCTGCAGCTCACACAACAGCCACAGCATCCACCTTTTATTTGCAAAGGCATTAACTCTCAGACTTTCCTGGGAGTGTTGGATGCATTGGTCTGCAGTTATACTTGCATGTTTCGAGGACTTCAGGATTCATCAAGATGAGAACATATTTTTAAGTAATTAGAAATAACAGCAACTAATAATTTCTTAGCTAGTAAATATCTAATTCTGCTGATCTCTGAATATACTTCAGATTTCTTTTTTTAATCAGTAGTGTCATAAACCCATCAATCAAGTATTTCAGCGCAACAGATCTTAAAAATTACTCTTATAAGGTTAGAATAGAAATTTGCCAGAAAAAAGCCTCAGGAATGTTTTATGTGACACAATGTCATGAAGAACCTATCACTCTTTGCATCTAATTAAATAATCCAGTATTTATGTACAATAAGGCAGGCAGAATAAAACAAAATAGGAGGATAAAAATCACATAAATTAAGAACGTTAACAAAGTCGGGTTGCTCAGTATAGAGAGAAAATAGTTGCTTTATCACTAGCAATTTACACGTCAATACAGTTTACTAGCAATGGGGGAAAAACACAAGAAAACATAAAAACCTGTTACCTCTGTAACCATAATTTCATCACAATTATTTATTATCAAAATTACAGCAGACTTCCATGAGGCAGTGCAAACACGTAGATTTCATTCACACACATTCATCTTCACTTCGAAAAGAACCTTTGATATTACTTACCTTTGCTGAATTTCTATTTCCTATGCAGTGGAGAAGTAATTTGTGGGAGAGAGGAACATAAAAGCTTTAGATTGGCAACTGTTATGATTCATTGTTATTTCTAATGCATTAGAAAAACCTCAAATGAAATAAAAACTTTTAAGAGTTCAAGCTCAAACCAAGGGAGAATAGTAGCTTCTATTTTTATCTTTTTTACAAATCACTATCCCTTCCAAGTTCAGAAAAATAAGTCAAAACACTATCAAGTCCTAATCCTATTTCCAGCACAGTCTTTTCAACATGTGCATTCTATAAACAGTAACACTCAGACAAGGAAAATAACAGAACCTGCTTTTCAATCAGTGAAGAAAAATCAGTCACTAATCAAAAAATCGAATACCAGCCATATCTGGTTTGTACACTGTGTATCTGGGCATATTTCACTTTTCTGAGATAAGAAGTCATCTTGAACATCAGCTTTCCGGGTCTGTTTGCACTCAGTGTTATACTGTGACAGGCAAAGCACCATGTATGTGTAAAAATTAACTTATCCATGTATGTGTAAAAATTAACTTATCCAGGGAACATCAATGTTTCAGCTCTGCCAATTCCATCTCTGACCAAGATCTGCTTTTTTAACAATGCACAAGAAAATTCTTCGTAAACATGCTCTCAATTATAGAGTTAACCTGTTATTGGAACAATGGTAAACTGCTGAGTTGACCATAGCAATACAAAGTTTAAAGTAATTATAGTGTTGGATTAATCACAGGTTCTTCTGTTTATCTCAGACACTGGAGGCCTACATCTCCTTCGTTCTTGTGGTGCAAGTTTCTTTCTCCTAGGCAATGTCCGACATCTCCATCATTTCAAATCTTTGGAAATGCAATTATTGTTCATCTTCCACACAATTTACCATGTCCAATAAAAGTTTCATGTTGAGGATTTAATTAACAAAACAGAGACAATACATATATCGCCCTTACTATTTGTCATATTTATGATACTAATTTCTTCTCTGCCAAGCAATTTCTTCTGGGAATATAAAATAATTAAATTTAATTTTAAAAAATCTCACAGGATAAGAGAATAGACAAACGAAAAAAATTGCTTCAGAAATAGTTGTGCTAGAACAGCAAGACTGTAAAAGAAGGGGAATAGATCAATTGCAACACAGATAAAAACTTCAACTGGGCAAAGACCTTTTGAGCAACAGAACAGAGAAGCCTCTTGATTCAGTAGTGTGTTCATTTGTCTTCCATAGAAACTGAACTGTCTCTCACCACAACTGCTTTACACTTTTATCTGAGTGCAGATAACAAGTGGACATTTGATTCTCTTCATTTAATGATATTTGGCTGAAACAGGCTCTCAAGGTAAGATTCATAAGTTTTCCTTTGAAGAAAGAAGAATTAAAATAATGAAGAATAAGTACTATTAGAACAATGATTTCCTAAGCAGTCCCATTCTTTTGATGGAACACCCTGAAGCACTAGTGAATCAGCTGGAAAAAAGGTGAGTATAGGACACAGAGAAAAAAAAATAAAAATCATATTTTCTTGCCTCCTGAGCAACCCATTGAATCTGCACGAATAGCTAAATATCTGCAGCCAAAACCAAGCACGCACTTGCATCCTACTCTCTTAAAACAGAAAAGCATCATCGTACACATCAAACTAAGGAACAGGATTCCATGATCAAAAAAGTGTGTGTAGAGTGAAAAAATCATTTGTGTGCAAGAAATCATAGCAAGATTTTTGTCTCGTTTAAGCTCCTTTTAAAATTGACTTAAATGAATTTTAAGTGATGTGTAATTTATTTGTTCATGCTTCAGATCAGGGGCAGAATTAACACAGTCAGACACAAGTCAGATTTAGAGTCAGGATCTATTCAGAGAGCCATTCTGTCTTTCAAGGCAAAACACAAAAGAAAAGTTATTTAAAATTCCCAAGTACTATATAAGCAAATACATACCCAAACCTTCTGACTCAAACAGGCAGGTATCATCCACCCCTACATCTCTGCACCAGGATAAGAAATTTGCTGTGTTGTCCCGTGCAAAAAAAGACCCTGAAGGAGCATTTGCTTTGCATGGAATCTTCCGTACTGGTAAGGTCTGAAACACAGAAGTTCTTTATTTAGATAAACAATATCTGTGAGCATTGTACACAGTATTCTGAAATCAATATGCAAGTCTTGGTCAGATGGGTGACTACAGAGCCACCAGCACATTTCCTTGTCCATTAAGGAATTCCAAACAAAAAAGAATGAAGAGTGATTTTAATGGCACAAAGTTGTCAACCATGAAGTCTTTTCAAAAGCACCGTGACTGGCTATGTGATGTGAAGTGCAGAGCAATATTAGCAACTACATTTTTGGGCTTTAGTGGTGGGTCTAGTTCAATGAATTAAAAAAAAAAAAAAAAACAAAAAAAACAAAAAAACCCAACCCAAATTTATAAAGACAGACTTTAAATTAGGACTGAACTTTTGCGAAATTAAGAGTGAATTAGTTTCAGACCTATGTTAAGAAGAATCATAGAGTAAAGTGGTAAGTCTTGAGGACTAAAGACTGTAAACACTTCAGAAATACCTGTGCCTCCCATTTAACACCAGTGGAAACCCCTATCCACAACACAGAAATGTAATCTAACAGCTACAAGTTTAACACACAGCTGTAACTGAAAAATACATATATATACACAGAACTACTCACCTCTATATACCTCATAAACCAAATAAACTGCAAATAGAATGGCTACAGGGATAAACACCATTCTACTAATTATATCAATACATCAGAGGGATGTCTATGCCTTAAACGCATAGACACGCCTTGTCAACATTTAGGCCTATTCCTCAGATCACCATCTAGCTCTCATTCCCCCATGATTCTTAGTTCAATTGCAGGTTTTTTACATGTTTTTGTTTTGCAAAAATTATGCTTATGTTTCAAAATATTTACAAGGACACATTAAGACATTTCTATACTGTATTAGCAGAAAACACTGACCAATTTTACATGGTATTTTGAATAAAAATCCAAGTAAACCTTGTGTCATGTACATATAGATAGTTTATAATCAACTTTAACTTGTCAGTAGATTCAGAGTTGCCATTTCATAGCACTGTATCTTAATCTGATTACATAAAACATCCACTATACATACAACATGATCATATACTCACAGAAGCAGCAGCTAAAATTGGCTTAACACCATTAAAATCAAATGGAATTAAATTATTTTCCCATAATACCTCTGGACCAGAGTATCTGAAGTGATGCATGGATGTTGAACCAACTGAGTTAACATGTCAACGTATGGAGACCAAACAAATCATATTTGACAAAACTATACCCTTTGGATTTTTTGAATGACTACGTGAAGTTTAAAGCACAAATCCTGGATGGCCTTCTAATGGATTAGCAGTGTTGTGACAGGAACGAGATGACAAGAAGCCAGCTGCAGTATTCCTGGCACTTGCAGACTTGTTGTGCAAGAGCTACTTCAGAGACCATGGAAAGGAGATGAAGCTACAGTTACTTTTTGTCTAAAAGCAGACCTGCACTTTCAAATCATGACACGTCCCTCTTCTCATCTCTTTTACTTTGCTTTCAGGTTTTCCTCTTCTTCAAGACAAAATCTGCTTATAACCCCAGGAACAGCTCGGAAGGGCATTACAGGTGAAATCATACCAGGTTTGTTTCCTTCCACTCAGTTCTCCAACTCCAGACCAAACAATTCTGTGCCTGTAAACTACTTTGTCCTGCCACCTTCCCCAATAACCAGCCTATATTCTTTCATGTCATGCATATTAAACACTACTCTAGAAGTCTGTGATAAAACCCTCATATTATTTCAGAAAAATCTAGAGAGTAAAAGAAACCAAACCCCAAACTCCCCAAAAAAACAAACAAAAAAAACCCCTCACAAAAAAGAAATATTGTGCTATATGGCTGGTGGCTGCCATCTGGCAATCAGAAGATACTTGGGCCCAGCGTGGGCAGAACCAATCTGCTCTACTGGGCCCTGAGCCCAGAGGGCATCAGCAAGTCTGCAGCACTGGTCCTGGAGAGCAGAAGCTGCTCCTTGGCACAGATGCCCTCAGCAGCACAAAAGCAGCTGGAAGCGAGGAGGCAGCCAGGAGAACCTACACTCCCTTTCTTATAAAGGGCTGTTGGGAAGGCACTGCAAAGCCTATCAGGAATGCAGAAAACACAAGTTGTCCCCTGAGTCACTGCTGCTCCCCAGTACTAACAACACGTGAATAAATCTGGTTCTAAATATTTTATGTCTTCTGATTTAGGGAGATCATAACGACTGAATATAGAAATGCTCTCAAGAAAAGCAATTCAGAACAGATGGTTTATGTGTCAGAAATCTATGTAGTTAGAGTCAGCAAATAAACCATCTAAAACTCCACGTACATAACGGACTATCCATAAATTATGCGTCTATATCTTGACAACTAAGACCTTTAAACGTATCAGTCAACCTAGCTTCGCTGTGAGACTTCGACACTCACGGAGCTCACAATATATCTTTTACAATTATAAAGTTTACAGTGTCTTTTAGAAGTACATTTTTGTAGTAACAGCTACTAGCAGCAAATAATAAGAGTTTAGGTACAGAATTATCAAACTTAACTAATCATAGTTTCATACTAACAGGAAAAGTCTGATTGACAAGTGCCCTAAACAACTCAGAAGTGACAAACACCCAAACATCAAAACAAAGCGTGTCCTGGACTACAGAAGAAAAAATACCTATGTTATTGAAGGGGAAAAAAAAAGCTTTAAGACATTTTATGGAGCAAATACTGCACAGATGAACAAATCCTCCGCAAATAAATATCTCTGGCATCAGATGATCTCACTAAAATGTAGTATTTTATATTTCATCCCATTTCCCACAATATTAGGGCCTTGCTGAAGAGAAAAAAAGAGCAAAAAAACCTCCTCTCCATTCAACAATAGCACAATCAGGTTTATCACAGAAATTACAGGGAAATACTCCTATTTTCTTATCACCTAATAAATTTCCCTACCACCTTTTAAATAGAAGTCTACTTTTTTAATATTTCCAAAACTATCACTGTAATGCTCAACCTATAACACATGAAAGCTCTTATTTAAGAAATGTTTCATGCACAAATATTTTTTACTGATTTATATAAATGGCCTGACTATCTCAAAAGTGCTTTCTAACAGGTCATTCTGAAGTAATTGGGTTTCCATATGGCAAAAGTGACTTTTGTTGACATAGTATAGTATAACCGCAGTTGCTTTGAAACAGCAGTGGCCGCAATTACTCCTATCAAATATCATGAAAACAGTTCCCCAGTTACACTCCTTTTACAATCTTGTCTTGTTGATGTGCATGCATGTGGTTTAATGAAGGATGTGAAAGTGTGAGTGAAACATATGATGCAATCCTGGAAAAATGCTGTCAGGTTCACTTCTAAACCCAAAAGGGACTCTCTTACACGGATGCTCTGAAATCACAAGGAAAAATGTATTTTTTGTACTGTTTTTCCAAAATCCGGGTCCACAAATACATGTTAAAAACTCCTCTTTTTTTTTTTTTTTTTGTTATAATCAGACTTGAGCCATATTCTGAAGATTTCCAATCGTACCCCACTCTTTGAATAGATGATTTCACAACTTTCTGAACTGATACTTGCACTTGAATAAAAGGAAAAAGACTAGCAGTTTTGTTTGTTATGGAAGAGGGTTACAGTTAGCTAGGCACTCACTGGAAAAACTTGCTTTTATTACCTTATAAAAGCCTACACTAAACAAAAAGGGGGTAAAAATTACACTATGGAGACTGCAGTGGTCTCTCTCATGTAACTATGTCGTGTTACGTAAGCATACATTCATAGTGAGATTTCAGTATATCAGCTAGATAGAACAGGCATCTACTTCAGAACTTTCATAATTCCACCTTTAACTTTGCTACGGGACACAGAGTTATTCTTTTCCTTCTTAAATTCTTCCCTCGTTTTGCTCAAGTAGTCTTAGAAAAGTGTTCCTTCCCCTTATAAAACCTGAATCAGCTCTTTAGGATAGGGAACACAAAAGAGAAGTTCTGCCACAATTTTCTCTGTACTTATAATTTTTCTCCCTGTTTTTTATTAATTTGTTAAACATAAGTGAACAGAAGTTCATTGCTACAAGAATTTACTCTTATTGAGCTGTTACAATTCACCTCACCACAGAGTGACAATACCCCTAGCCAACCACCATTTATTCAACTGCTATTCTTAATTTTGCAGGAACTCAAACCTAAAATGTTTCAGATTTCATTTATAAATCACATAAGTGGTGTCCCAGACACTCATTTCAGCAAGGGAAAATTAAGTTTACCTTAGACTGCTTTGCAGTGCCAAAATTCAGGTTTAGTGAATAGCCATAAAATATAGACAAGTTTGAACTTATTTCATTAAAAAAATGAAACTGATACCTACAAGGTAAAATAGCTACTTGTCAAGGTGGGCCCAGTTTTGTTTTCCCCTACTCCATTTACTATGGGAGAGAACACTTTCCAAATATAACAACTAGACAAACAATGAAAATAATGTGCTAAATGCATATGCAAATGGTAGAAGGAACTCTGACCATGGAACTACATCAAATTTAAAATAAAGCATTTCTCACTGAAATAGAGAAAACCTAAGGAAAAGAATATAATTTCTCCCAGCCCTCCCAAAGCCACAATAAAAGTTAAAATCCAGAAAAATTTTTAAAAAACCCAACTCAACATGGAAATTTTGAAGGCTTACGAGACATCAATAAAAATTACCAAACTTTTCAACAGACATGGAACCAGAAACAGCTTCCAGATTAATGAAAAATGACATTGCACTTACAATAAAGAAAGCATCCCTAAGCAATTCACTTAACAATTGGCGAAACATTGTCCTTCAGTGAAATACTCTTTGCACTGTCAGATTAAGCAGTGTAGAGAGAGATGTGATTTTAATGGAATAGCAGGTTGGATTCCAATTTTAAAGATCATGTGTTGACCAGATTTTTACCCTATGTAATCACTGCAAAGATCATCAAAAGCCAAAAATCACTCACTATTAACTTCCTCAATTCTAAGAAAGCATT